TAACATTAAAGCTCCATCCTAATCGGAAAAGATTTCTCTGAGTCGTTCGGTGCTAAACGAAATTTCCGACAAGGTTACTCGTTATTGTTAGACTATTTAGCTTTGCCGAAAATAATGTTGATCTCAGCCGAGCAGGTTTAATCTACTATAAGCGCGTATGATCGGTAATAAGCTAACAATCGAGCAGTTCGTACTGCTATCTTCTGACTGGTTAAGAGAGCGAGGAATGAGCGAAGACAAAATATCTGTGTTAATAAAAAACAAACAGTAATTTAGGACTTGGCTTTCACGTCATTGTTGGAGATCGTTCATATATGGACCAGTAAAGTGAATATTTATTGGATTGGTTGGTGAATCACCCAAATAGAAAATACCCCCTCTCGACGAACGAGGTCTAAGCTCTACAAACACTGCATCATTCCGATCATTCCGATGGTGGGAAGGCCTGTGGTATGACAACATCTGATTAGAAAGTTCTCAGAGGCTTCATTATTCATTTGCGCATTGTCGTTTCTAACACAATACTCGCTGGTGGAAAAAAAGGAAGAGCAAGCTCGTTAAGGAGAAGAATTAGGATTTACTTAGAAAGAAATAATGCAAAGTAAGAAGAGAAAGAAAAACAGGTGACACATTTACTATGTGAATAACGTGTGCTTAACAATCTTTTTTTTGTTTATTTTTATGATTAATTCAATTTATACTTTTTGGCGTTGTTGCCAATTTGCATTTAACGAAATTTCAGCTTTTCTTAAGGTTTTTGCATTCCTTGAAATTTGTTTGTAGATTTCACTAAAGTTCTCACATTATCCCAAACATTTACAGGCTTATTATGTCTAGGTAATAAAACTTACTTTGGTATTAAACTTTGCCTTTTAGTAAATTTTGTTAATATTTTGTATTCTGAGTTCACTGTCACCCTGTAAATTTTGTTACCAGCGAGATAGGAGGTATCAAAAAAATCTGCTGTTCGATTTTGTGTTGTTATTATTAATTCGTGCGGTTTTCTAAGAGAGGCTCTAATAGTATTATTTCGCGTCGTGTTCATCTATGGCTATATTCATTTTAAAGGTACCGTCATTTCGCGTCGTATTCAGTAGTTGTCATTTGCTTAAGCGTGAAAAACAATTTGTTTCATCCATTTGAAAATGTTGAAATTTGTACCAGATAAAGTGATTTTGTGCGGAGTTCTTCTTCATTACTTTAACATGAAGAAAAGTGCTACCGGAAGCTATCGTATTTTAATGGACGCTTAGCCGAACGAACGTGCCAAAAATGGTTTGCACGGTTTAAAAGTGGAAATTTCATCTTAGACGACGGAGAACGACCCGGACAGCCAAAAAAATTTCAAGACGAAGAATTTGGAGACATTGCTCGACGCAGATGCATGCCAGACGCAAGAAGAACTTGCAAAAGTATTAGGAGTTGATTAAGCAGCCGGATGATTAAGATAACGAATCAATGCACACATCCAATAGTTTGAGAAAAAATTGGAACCAAAATGTGTAGGCATATTTTGCGTCAAGAATTTTTTTTATAAACAGGCAAGTCTAATTTGACATGGTCGAGAAAGAGCAGCGCTGCCAAAGTTTTGTCAAACGACATGATCCGTGCGCTAGAATACCAAATTTCGGGTGTTGAAAAATATAAAAAGAAATTGCTTTACCGGTTACATTGATAATAGGTCTGTTAATGTTAAATTATTCTTTCGAAAGAAATTTCACAACTTTTGAACCACTTTTCCACACAATCAGTAGTCTGCTAATCTCGTATAATTTCTTACTCCAGGTGTCCGATAACTTTTGCTTATAAATGGCCATTGACTGATTAGATGATTTACGGTAGCAACAATACGTGTACAGACAGCGGCACATAAATATGGGCAGATATTGTTGCAAATAACTTGATAACAGTTAAGTCAGCAATTTATATGAGACGCTTGAGGGGTTAAGAGGGAAATTAAATATAATTAGTGAACACTTGAGAATACAATAAGGAAGTTTCCTTTGTTTTTGCAGTAAGACTACTATTAAGCTTTTCTACTTTAAAATTAATAATTTATTATTTACAGTTTTATTGTCTTAATTCTAATGGCCAATGAATGACACAATTAATGTAAGGAAAATGAATTAGTTTTTTGGTAAAAACTTAACTTTTGAGTGATTTATTTGAATTATTTGTTTTTAAAACTAAATAACTACATACACTTATACGTATGTGTGCATTTTGTTATGTATGTATTTCGACAAGTATTTTCCACTTGTGTTTTAGTGGTTACATCAATTAAACTAACAAACGAGCCGAGTAAATGGATTAGAACGGCACCGAGTGCAAAGCAATTTACTCGATAATTGACGGTATTGAATTGCCTTGTAATATGAGTGAGCTACTGGCGATTATAGCCTTTTAGAAAAAACAACAACAAAAAACTTAATTGCACTGTAAATAATAATTTATTGCGAATTTGTTGAGTTAAAGGTACATGCACGTCATGACTTGCAGTGCGCAAGGTTAGTGAGAGGGTTTACCTCTACGTGGTTAAGAGATAAGATGCAAATGAGTTTAGAAATCCAACAAAATTTAGGCAGTAGCTGCTTTAGAGGCTTCAAAAATAAATTTTTTTTGAAAATCTGTTATAAAATTAACCCAAAACATGTCTTCAAAACTTCAGTGGTCGATTCGATATATTTTAGAAGCTGTAGCGTTTTAGTGGCCGAGCGTTGGGCAGGTTTTCTCGAATGATCTAGCTTCCGTATAAAATTATGCTCTATTTCAAAATAGTGAATTTTTCTACAAACTTCGAAAAAAATTTGGAAGTTTTCAACTTCTTCGGCATTTTTTTAAGGTTTTATTTAAGTTTTTATAGTTTTTATAGAAGACAGACTGATATAAATTAAAGATAATTGATTCAGATCACTGGCACGACCTCCATATTCCAATATTTTTTGATACTAAGAATTGTTTCTTAAAGCTTTAATATCGTAAATTATTATTTTAAAATTTCGTTTACCGCAATAGTTTTCTTCCATTTCAAAAAATTGCTGAAGGAACACTTTCTTTTCCGGTTCTAAAATTGGCAACATTGTGTAACTAATTCCCTCTAAATAGGCGAAAGTTCTGTAGTTAAATATATAACGATGCAATTGGATTTGTAAACACAAAAGCGATTATTGGTCAAGCTTCTCTTCTAATTTGAGGTTTTTTCAAACAAATTCAAAACTCTACAGCTTATTTTAGATCGTCTACGAGTGTCTGAAGAATTTTTGTGAGGACATTTTTATTTAATGTCAAAAATACAGTCCAGTGTGAGCCGACCCCTATGTGAATTTTATTTCTTATTTTGGAAGCTGGTCTCAGCTACTGCCCTCGTCGTTGTTCAGCAATTAAAAAGCTGGAGATTTGTGTTTTTAAATGACCGAAAATCGCCAACTTAATTACAAATTTTTGTAGATGTTTAAATTTTGATTTAGAATTAAAAATTTGTTGACTTGTCCCTCGTAGCATTGTATTTATTACCTCAAAGGGCTTGATTGGGTTGATTGGTTTGTTGAATGTTGAATGAAGAGAGCTTAACCGCAAGCAGCCGCACCTAAACGAGGTGAAAAAAATGGGTCAGGCAGGATTATTAAGCGGACTGCAAATATACAGTACCTATAAAGGAGTGTTCAGCCGGAGTTCTTCAAATAGGTGTAGGTGAGACCCGAAGGCCATAAGGAACTTTTAAACGTAAACGTTCTGGTATTAGCCCAACGTTCACCATGTTGACGTGAGCTGTTCAGAAGCCCAGAAGTACTCCCAGCTGTCCTCTGTTTGTCGATAACGACTCGGACATCCGAGGCCACCTCAGCAAAAAACAGCTCGGAAGTGGGAAATGGTAAGGTAAATGCGGAAGTCCTCAACCAAAATGATGATCCGGAGAAATAGATTTATTTTTTTACATCTTCGTTGTTAAAACTTGAAATAATGAACGACTTTGAGCTAGTTGTGAGGAAGCTGACTCGAGATGAAAATAAAGCCTTCGTTTAAATGATAGTTAATGGACAGGAAGATTTAGATCCGACATTTTTTTAAAAAGTCTTTATAAGAGGAGGTCCTTGAAACAATTTGTACCTTATAAGCAGCAAAAAACTGCAAATATCCTAATAACGATTCGAGGGCCTGGCTTTTCAGTACCCAGAGGCCAGAACTCTTCAGCGTTTACTGGTCTTTAAATTGCTTTCTTGACTCATTCCTGCGATTGCCGTATATATTCTAACACATAGGGCATAGCAAAGCAACAATAAGCTCGGAGTAGTGAACTTCGTTGGCGAAAATCCTCCCCGATTTTCTTCCTAAAAATATCCTTAGCTTTTCCTTGCCGAAAGCTGTTCTATTAAATATATGCAGTTTCTTCAATCAACTTCTAATAATTTCATTAGATATCTTACTTGCTTTTCTTCCAGTGCACTTCCTAGTCCCATGGGCCACAAAATTCGGACTCCATTGTCATGGGAATGAAATTAACGAATTGCATGTTAACCTATTTACACGCTAATTTGCCATAAGTACCCGTGCATATATACATACATACATACATATGTAGGTGCTAACGCGTGTGCAATTGCCTTTATATATAATATAGGCATGTACGTGTATGTGGGTGTGTCGTCTGTTGCACCTAAAACGAGCATTCGGCGGGTCAATTGTACAATCGTGTGCGTGTGTATGCATGTGTCATGGGTCAAGTAAAATGAACTAAAATTAAATTAGATAACGTGGGTATGTAAACAAAGAAAAAAAATCAAAAAAGAGGTTAAGGAAAAATAAAAGAAAAGGGAAAAGTTTTCCTTGCAGCATGTTGCATGCATTAGGTGCCTCGGTGCAATTTATTTGTACAGAATTTACTTAAAAATACAGATTTACATACAAACATTTGTGTGCTTTCATTGGCTGGCCGGCTGGCTGGTTGGCTGGTTGGCTGGTTGGCTAGTTGGTTGGTTGGTGAGTTAGTGCTTGCATGAGTGTGTGTGTTTGTGTGTTTGTGTGTGTGTGTGTGTGTGTGTGTGTGTATGAATGGACTTTTGCTCTAGTGCACCCAAACTATCGTCGAGAAAAACACGCGAATAATAACAACAATAAAAATAACAACAAACAGCAACAACAACAACAACAGCTGTGTCGCCTTGTCCCACAGCAGTACATCCAGGTGCATTTTAGGTGCACATGCACTCAACTGCGAATATGATTTCAAAGTCCAGCACATTGACGTGTTATGCTACTCGCCCATATGTTTGTATGTTTGTGTGTCTGTATATTTATCGCGAATTCTGAGTACATTGGAAAACTGCTGCAGAGTAATAATGGAAATGAAAACAATAACACGTGCAGTATATACACGTATGTACACACAAACATATGCACAAATGCATATATTCAATGGAAATGTGTATTCAGTTGGAGATCGGTTAGTAATTGAAGAAGAATGTCAACTTTACAACACGTTCAGTGCATTCACGTTTTTTGCTTGGACATATACACATACATACATACATACATATACGGCTATTTGTACTCAACACTTAACACTTAACACTTGACTTGTCTATTATTTATTTGTAAATTCGACGTAGTCACTTTTGATGATGAAGTGCTGATTGACTGATGGAGTGCAAGTTGAAGTATTGTAAGTAACTGTAACTGTATGAAACGTCTAAGCGGTTGCGAGGCTAACAAAAAAGTGTAGATTTCGAAAAAAAAAAATTCCGGCTGCTTGTAGCTGCTTAAGTAAAATATATATAAACAGATTTTTAGATTAAAATATTAAAACTAAAATTATTAGTTCTTAATAACGAAAATAATATTATATTATATAGTGTATTCTTTCAGGCCTATTCTCACTCTTACCGGTAAAGTAAATTTTGTTACTTTTCTTTAACACCCGAAATTAAATTTAATATTCTGGCGAACTGGTTACAATGTTCGAAACAAATTTGGCAGCACTGTTTTTTCGTCCATGTCAAATTATATTTGTCAGTAGACAAAGTAAAAAGAAAAATATTCACATCGAAATGGAAGACGGTGCACAAAAAAAAATACAAAGTTTTATTAATTAGTTTATTAAATCATAAATATTTGAACCTAATTATGGAATATATGCCCGGACAACAAAAAAAGCGCAATGAAAACGTTATCTACAAATTAAAGGGATATTTTTAGTCTTGAAAACTTCTAAAAATACGGCTTTTTGCAATTTTTTCCTCATCTTTAATGAATTTCAGGCCTAAAATTTACCTACCCATTTTGGTTTTTTATTTTTTCTCAAACTCACAACACAAACTCAAACAGCAGATATGTTTATTACCTCCTATTTCGCTGGTAACAAAATTTACAGCGTGACAGTGAACTCAGAATACGAAATAGTAACAAAATTTACTGAATGGTAAATTTTAATATCAAAGTAAATTTTGTTACCTCGACAGAATAGGCCTGTTAGTGTGACCAACTCTTTGTAAAGAAATGTTTTAAGAAAGACTTATCAGCAATATCAGAATACACATTTTCGCTTGGAAAGAGCCTACCTAGCTGAAAATTATGAATACTGTTGAATTATGCTAGTTATTTCGAGTGGTGAGAAGTCTAGGTCATATTGGCTGAAGTTTCGGCTGAGTTAAGTAAGGTTAAGGTAGATTTGTATTCTACAGTTTTTAAATTTTTTCATGTATCACTGACAACATAACTCAGTGCTTTAAAAGCGTTTGGAGGGCAAAAGCTAGCACAGAGTGTTACTGTCATGGTAGTTTGGAAAAAACATACATATACATTATATGGTATGATACAGAAGGGGAAGAGATAGACCCAGCTAAAATTTGTACCGATCGGGTAAAAATGACAACTTTATTTGATTTAGCCATGTCTGTCTGTCCATAAGTTTGCATTTCAAGCAAACTTGGTACAAATTGCACTGGTATATTTAAACGTTAATTTATCAGAAACGGCTGGAGCGGGCCATTATACCATCGGTTGATTTATCAGATTGGCTATTTTTGCACATAAATTTGTCTTATACCGTGAACCACACATTTGTGCTGAAAATAATCGAAATCAGAGAATTATATATATAGTTTTCACATACATACAAATAAATATTGTCACCGAAAATCATAGCAATCGGGGAACTACAACATATAGCTTCCATACAACCGATTTGTAGAGAAGAAAGAATTGTTCAGATATGAGAATTAATCGTCAATTAAACAGATTGGCAACCCTTTTGAAAAACTTTCTCGAATCTCCTTAAGAAGTTTTATACCAATATTGTAATAGTGAATTTATTTTACTACTTTTTCCAAATTTTAATTTCAAGACTGATGATAACTCTGGGAAATTTCAAATACTGATCTTTTTGAACCCACTGAAACACTGGTAAACACACGAGCTTTCATTTAAATCGGCTATGACACTAAGAATGAGATTAACCATAGAAAAATTTACAATGTAATTATAAATGTAAGCAATTTGGGAAAAAGTGGCAACCTTGTTGAATTATAAATCTAACAATTCCCGGGTTTTATGGAACACACATTATCTGTAACGGTTGAGCTGTTTAGTGCAAAATATTTATATAAAGAGAAAAATTATAGGTGACACCTCTACCTAATAGATTTAATAATTTAGTGAAGTTCTTTCATCGATAAATAAAAAACTAAACCATAAAAACTATGAAAATTTTTTTTAGTTTCATGGAACTGTCTCAGATCATATATTTGTTTGGAAATAGTGAAAAAAATAAAGCAACAGTTATGAACAGTAGAAGCTATAGCTGCTATTTTGGTGCCCACCACGATTCCTCATTAGCCTTAGTTTTCTAGAAACTGTTGTTCGAATTAGATCCGAACTTGTATGCCGAGCTCCTTTCTACCTGCAGTTGAAATAAAAAAAAAGAGTTATAAAGATTATCTATTTTGTTTGGTAAAGTGCGCTAGAAGAAAAACTTGTTTGGAAGCTTCCAATTTTTTTTTATTTTCGTAAATGTTTTATGGAAAATTAATAAGAATATGCAAAAATGTAAGTGCGGACATTGAACCATTATATATGTAAATATTAAAGTATCAGAATTAAATATATACTTCGTGAAGGACCTGAGCCTGACATTTGATATGAATGAAACTGAAATTAATTTTCCTGCATTTATTTTTTCGGTATATCTTTGTACTTAATTTTGCTCCAAAAACTACGTAAGTTTTTTTGGCCTCAATTAGACTTATTGTTTTTGAAATTGTTAATATTTATTTAGCCAAAAAAAAAAAGAACAAACGGAAAGTTCAAAAATGAAAAATAAAATTAGGCTTCACTTATTTTTCTATATTTCCTTTCGAATTAAAACCTTAAAGTTGTTCATTTTAAATTTATAAAAAAATGCAGTAACCGAACAATTTACCTCCGTTCCACATTACCAACATTCAATATTTTCTATTCTCACAATTCTGAATTATTAAATACGTTTTCCCTGATACTTCGAGCTTTTCGTTTTTCGCAAGTGTCTGCTTTCACGGAGCTCCTACATATAGAAAAAAGGAACAGAATTACAATATCTAACAGAACTAAAATTCATTCACAGATGAGTTCATTCACACGCCTATTACATACCAGCACATACACAGCTGCGCGTGGAGCAATGTACTTACAGCTTGATTTAGTTTTCCTTTTTATTTTATGGTTTTTGGCATCCAACCAACCAAAGTGGGTGGCGATTTCAACAGCACGTGCGAGTTCAGCTGAAACTAGTGATTAAAGTTCTCTTGCACTCACGAGTGTCGAGTGTCGAAAATTATTGAGGAAGCTTTTTATTTTTATGGGTAAAAAGAGGAGCAAAAGCAACTTTAAATAAATAGTTAATTTAAACAATAATGAAATTGATATTTAATAAAGAAATTAAACAAAATATTATTATTTTAAGATGTTCACATTAACTGACAGATTTCTTTAAAAACTTTCCATTAAATTCTGCAAACATTTTTTTACAAAAAAAAAAAGTTCATTTATTTTATTTATATATTATATATTAACCAAATTTATATATACATAGTACAAGAAAAATACATACTTACATAAAATGCACTCATAAAAGTTCAAAGTACTTTTTTTTGGTTTTATTTATAAAACCGATGACTTTACTAATATTTTTCTTTTGGGCTTCTTTCTTAGAGTTTACCGAATAACCGAACCAAAAAAACTTTCGCTGTAGAGCTTTTATCCAAGAACCGTTTCGCTGGTACAGTACGGCATAAAATTTCATTGCTGTAAAAAGCTGTAAACAAAACCAATACCGAAGAAAGTTATAAGATATAATGCCTGATAAATGTGGTCTAATATTGCATAAAAGTTGAATATCTGCCAGAATCGTGAATATAAAAATTATCAGTTACGAAAAACCATTTTACCAAAACTTCGTTATTTTTTTGGTTTTTTTGGTAAGTGTTCTTTTCAGCGAATGAAACATTTAAAGCAATATGATTTTTCGTTCCTTTATAGAAAGGATTTTTTACAGCCTGTGGTTTTATCAACAATACAATCGATTCATGGAGGGAAACTTTGATAAAAGGATTATCTGGGGCCGTTGGCCTGTGGCGTGACTTCCAAGATCGTGTGATTTAACACCGCTGGACTTAGAAGCAGGGAGGAGGTAGATGCAGTGGTTGCCAAAAGTGCCATCCGCAGTATCAAGTGGTTTGCTGGGGTACTGTTGGTTTAATGACAAGTCACAACTTACTGGTCTCACAAGCGAGCCGGGTGGGCATTAGTAACGGCGACACATGCAAATAATGCTGGGAGGAAGGCATAAGTTAGACGCTGAAGCCCACCTACTGCTTCTGTACGGCCTTAGTCAGAACTCGTCTTAGATATCTGGGAGTTTTGAAGCCCAACCAAACTGAACCTTCAGCTGGTATTACAAAAGACGATAAGATCTATGTATGATATGACAAACAGTCAGCATAACATAGCCTAACTTAACCTCTCATTATATGAGTCTTTATAATGAGCAAGCAATGCTACGAATAGACTTCCGTATGGTCTTAAGACACACGAGGGTACATCGCTGAATTACTCCAACTAGAAATTGTTTTTATTGAACTAATCAGCATTCAAAGACTGATTGATTGGGTTGAATTCAATGAAGAAGAACTGCGGGAGAGGTGACCAATCTTGTGGCTACATCCATAAAGAGGAAGAAGAGCTTCGCTAAGAAATCTCAAAAATTGGTATCTTTTCGTTTCATAGTTATCTTCTGAGCTTTGCTTTCAAATCAGTTATCTGTGTCGTCCTATCATATTTTTTTATTATTTACTTTATTTCAATATTTTTTTGTCAAAGTGAGTTTTACAGTTATGTAAATTTAAAATTAGAATATATTTTTGTTAAATTTGTTAGGTTAATCTCTTACACTCGAGTTCTTTTATTATTATTCTATAATATATTAATTTTATATTAAACTTTTAAGTGTTCTTATTTTGTTACAACAGCTTGGGCCAATATTTTACTTAACTAATAATTTTTAATTTAATCTTTAATTAAAAAAAAAAAACAACTGTTTTACTCGATTTCAGCTCGATTCATCTCGGTGAGATTAGGGGGATATGCGTGCTATGGCTGCGTCTTTAGCTCTTCTCAATCATCATCCTCTATTCTTCTGCTTTATTATATACAAACTTCTCTTCAATGGCTCTCACTGACGGCTTGCATATGGAACTGCCAGGTGATCTCGTATACTCAGGTATTATTCATTTTATCGCTCTCCTTAGCACCACCATCCTCATCGCCGCTCACGAAGAGATGTCGCAAACAACTGCGTTTCACATAGAGAAAAGCGACCAGCGCACAGAGTAGAAAGGCAATACCCACAGTGCTGCCGATGAGTAAAGCGCGTGTTTTACGATGTGAGGGTACCTCAATGGTGAGTACATCACTGGCGACCTGCTCGCCATTAATGGATGTAGCTATGACTTGTATCTGAAATATGGCGTCTTCTTTGAGATGACGTAACTGATAGAAGTGATCGAAGGTTTCGATGGTGCCAATGAGAAAATGCTCCGGTTCCTTCCACCAGCGTACGGTGTACAAGCGTACAGATTCAGAGCCACGCTTTGGCGGTTGCCAATGCACCAGCCAACCCTGTACATTATTAGTGGCAGTTACATTCCAGGGTGCACTTATGCTGCCCGCAAGCGGATTGGAGTGATGCATCAGATTCACCTCGTTCGATTCTATGCTCGATTCTGTGCGCAAAGCTCAAAGATTTTATAACGATTGTAAAAATATTTGCGTTGCAAACTCACCTTGCGTTGAAAATCGTATCGTTTTGCTGAACATGCCGTCGCCATATTTATCCTGACTGAGTACCATGAACTCGTACTCGCGACCGGGTTGCAAATTTTGTATCGTTGCTTCCATAATATTTTTCTGCATAATACGGAGTGTGCGCCACTCGGGTGATTCGGTGAGGCGATACCACACGGTGTACTCTAGATTGGGACGGAGGTAGCCTAGGGATGATTGATGAATAAACAAAAGATAAATAAAATAATAACTAAGTTTCTGTGTATTTCATTGGTAGGTTTCAGTGGATAGATTTGAGGTGGTAGCCTCTCTTTCTCCAGAGAGAAAAGAATGGGCAAACAAATATGATACATCCGCCGAGAGCATTTACATATATTCAGTTGCTTTAAAACTTTAAGGCAGAGCTCGCTCAGTGGTTTTACTTTCAGGACCCCGATATGGGAACTCTATTTTAACTATAGCAATGTACAAAGGTATAAAAAATAATTAAAAAAAAAAAAATTAAGCTAAATTTTGTAATTGCGGTTGCCCCTCGGCAGAGAATGTCAGCCAATCGGAGTGCATTTCTGACATAAAATAAAGGTTCCACATAAAAAACTGTCAGCCGTTCGAAAGCGGCTTAGTAGAAACTGTTGGCCCCTCCATTAGATGGATAAGGATCAATACGCAAAACCAAGTCTTATTTTGCTGACTCTCACAGAAAACATCATCTCCCTGTTGGGAGAAACGACTTCGTCTCAACAGCGATTATATTTATTTCAAAACTAACCGCTATTAAATTTACTCAAAACAACTCCAAAAATACGCAATTTTCTGAAAAAAAAAAAACATAGACTAAACCAACAAAGCTCAGCAACAACAATATATTTTCGGGCAATCAAGCAGAAAAGTTCTGTTGGTTGCAAATTCATTCAACCGACGCCAGCATAAATGTCAAACAACAACGTTAATACAACAATAACAACAACAACAACATCAATAATTACGAGTGTCCATAGAGTTGAATGAGCAACGATTTAGACGCCACCACCACAAACGCATTTTGGTTTCAGTTTTTTTCTGTTTGTTTTTGTTTTTTTTTTGTAGTTTTTGTTCACTCACCTGGTTGCCAGCGTACCGTTATCGCTGTTTCCGTGCTATTCGCCGTCAAATTGTATGGTGGGCGCGGTGCAATATTCTCGATCATCAATTCCGTTTCGGCGGTGATGCTCGCGGCTTCATTAGTGGCCGAGCACTCGTACATTCCCCGATCCGTTTCGACCAAATTCGTTATGATTAAATTGCCAGCGTTGATGGTGTGACGTTCGTCGGGCAATAAACTGCCATCCTTCTGCAAAAACAAAAAAAAAAAAACAAAAAAAAGTAAATAGACCAGTTAGTGGAGCTTGAAGAGGGTAGGAGGGGAAACTACCAATGAGTAACAAAATAGAGAATTTTTGAATATTTGTTGTTTATTTTTATTTTTTTTTTGGAAATGAAATAAAATCATACGCATTGAAATGATTCGCAAACTGGTTTCGACTGTAGCGAAGCAGTGTATAGCGGTATTATATGTTTGTATATATGATAACAGTATATATATTATGTGATAAATTTAATACAAAAGGTGATTGTGTGGCAAGTAAATGAATTTACAATGGCCGTGTTCAGTTCGACGCCAGCTATTAGATTGACGTTGAAAGGAGCAGAGCTCGTGCTTGGCGCTTACAGGAATTTTATTTAATGAAATGAAGTTTATGTGAGTAATTTTGTAGAATTTCTATAATTAATTTGTGGCTATTATGAATTTTCGCTGCAATAAAAGGGTGAGCAAAAGGACACTTTGATAGGTAATAGCAATAAATCGTAAGATTAAAAATCACTGTGAGCTAAAGTTGAAAGGATTCGTACTTCAAGCGTTCCAAAACAATTTGGCTATCATTTCTGCAGAACCATCACGAGGTGTTTAGAGAAATAAAGCGGTGGTTCTATTTGAATGGTGACAAAACAGACCTAGTTTCTTTAATACACCATCAGGACCAAATAATGACATAGCTCGTTTTCTAAGGAGTTTATGGATAAAATTGTGTCCCGTACGTAGTCAGAGGAAAACACTGCTGTTCTCGCTTAAAGTGAGCTTGAACAGTTGTCACTGACACTGTTCGCGGGAATTAAACATATCGCGCATTTCTTTGCGTAGAATTTTGCTAAAGATCAATTGGTGCAAGAACTGAAGCCTCACCGCTAACCGATGCGATTTCGGGGCTTATTTTTCCACTGCAACTCGCTTTCGTTTTTTATCGAAAACGAGAGAGCAGGTAGCCTTATCGTTTTCATGTTTGTTGCCTGATTGTTTTGGTTGATGTGTGGTTTCAACAAAATTACTCTACGTGCCTTGGGAAGCTATTTAGAATTAGTGCTAGGCCACGTCACATGACATGCAGCCATAGAGGGCCCCACGATCGAAAATGGGTTGAAAAATAGGGACGATGGACAGAATAAAAGAAGCTGCAACAAGCCCAGTGTCGGCTGAAATATAAATGGAAGTGCAGTTCCATTATTAGCCGGAATATTAAAACAATTTAGGAAATTATTCAGAAAAAATTTTACAAGCGTAAACATTATATTAAAATTACTTCAAATATGGCAAATTGAGCTATTTAGCCGCCTACTTTTAAGCCACCTAAACTAAGATAGCAAACCTAGCCGGATTGCACCACCCACCCACCCCCAGTGCGTGCTTCTGGAATCTGCAAATTTCTATATACAGATGGGTCAAAGCTTGATGAAAAAATGGACAGTAGAATCCACAATCCGGTGCTCTCAATAAATATTAGCATGCGACAACTGGATCACCACCATCTAAGCTGAATCGAATAACAGGAATTTACGGTAACAGGACAATCAGTTACGATATATTCCGACAGTCAACATCTCTATAGAGGCGATTAAATTTAGAGACAATCTAAATAAACTGTCGAGTAAATGCGATAAAGTCGTGATCTGGGTACTCGGACACTGGGACATCCTAGGCAATACCACGGCAGATGAACTTGTTAGAGGAGTAGGCCTTCTAGGCACAACAAACCGAGCACAGGGCAAAGTAGAGAAAAAAGTAAAATTACTCGCAACGTGACTAGATAGCTTTGGACAAAACTGGGCACGAAGCAAAGCTAGTCAAGGTTCTCTTTTAGCAAAAGGACATGAGTAACAACAGTTCACTGTGTAATGGGGCTTCATGAGAAAATTATTTTTTATACAGCTGCAGCGACGAAGATGAGAAAAAGCCTACTGAACTCCACCTTTACACAGTCTAGCCTTAACATCTGCGTATCATAAGTTCCGCAGAAGACACTTCTATGACTGTCTCGCTGAGTTAGCTTCAGAGGTAGATGGCAAACCCGCTACTTTTATAAAACACCGCCTCACAGCGGTATCACAATGAGCTGATTGACCCATGCCAAAATAAGTCGAATTTGTGAGCTGAACGTAGTTTTTTCCCCTTACTTTCCTTCATTACTGATTTTAAGTGTTAGTCCCATGACCACTCTTCCCCCTCCCGATTCCTCGAGCATATTCTATATTTGTACACCAATTATTCACAATTTGTCACTAAACTGCCAATATACCATTTTGGCGCCTCGTTAACAATGACCACACATGCTCAGGTATGTCCGTTGAGCCGTTGGCTTGTGAGCGTGCGACTGTTATCATTAAATTTTAACCAACCAATCAATCACGTTTCAAAGTTGCCACTATCGGCCATTTATACCTTGCCGCATGCTACATTGCGAAATTGCGATGCAACAGTGCAGTATTGTGTTGCCAACAATGTATGTATGTCAAGCAATGCCAATACCGTTACGCGTAGCCTTTTATACACTTTAGTTAGTGCAGCCACTTTCCAAAATGCTAGCATGTTGACCCTGGATACTGAGTCTGACTCTGTGTGTTTATGTGTGCGTGTGTGTGTGCTTGTGTGTCCTACTTGACGTTATGCAGTTGCACTGTGGCTGCAACGCAATTGCAATTACTGACCAGAGCAGCTGGTTGGCATACTGATGCCGCTACTTCAACGCTTAATACGCACCCACACAGTTCAACTCATTGGCCCTCGGTGCCATTTGGACTTTCTAGTTAGTATGCAGCTTCGTATTCGAGCATGCATGTATGTATGTAAGTATGTATGTATATACGATAGATTAATATTACAGCGTGTTGGTAACCGGTAAGCAATTGAACTAATTAAAAACTAGTTTGGAACTAGAATGTCTAAGAAATCTAATGACTTTACTAACAGTTTTTTACCCAACGTTACAGTTATTTTCGACCGATATCTGTTGGTTGTAAAAAAGAAATTTTCAGATTCTGTTGAGAAATAAACTAGTGCCATAATAGACCACTACTATGGGGTAAATATTGAAGTTGAATATTTCTTTCTGAGCCACAATATGAAAATAATTAAAAATAATTAAAACCCTTTTTTTCATTATTAATGGTTTTGTTTTTTTGGGACTAGTCCGATCTCATTCAGGGTAATTCTAGTAGCAAACTAGTATCACACTTACACAGTGACATTTCTTATTATATTTAAACATTTCTGCATGTTTATATATGCTTTATATTTGCAATTTCATGTACGAACATAAATACTCGTACATGTGTGTATATGCATAATACTTACTCGACTCCAGACAATTGTTGGCCGATTATTTCCGTCTCGGTCAATGGCTTCGCATGGCAATTCGGCTGTTTCGCCCAATTTTTGTATGTAAATTGGTTTCGGTGTAATGCTGAATATTGGCGGTCGCAATACAATTACACTAATGATGGGCGATGGCCCGTCCGTGCCGAGGTCATTGTAGGGTGTGCATGTGTAACTGCCTGCAGTACTCTCATCGACTTTGGAAAAGTATAGACTGCCATTGCTTTTGTAGAAAACGCCCTGTGGATGGGTGTGGATGATTTTTGATTAAGAAATAAAATCAATGAAATTAATGCATATATATATAATATGCCTGTGATTACTTGCTCTTTCTATGATCTCAAGCGCTAAATAAAGCAAAATGCAAAAAAAATATTTAAATTAAGTACGACTGGACATAAAATATGGTTCAGCATAAAATATGGCTTATCATAAAATATGGTGTAATAAAATATGCTTTAGTGAATGAAAAAAAAAATGGTAGAGCATAAATTACCATATAAAAACATTAAGAAATTCTGTAGTATTTCAAATATACACGTATACAAAACTTAATTTATTAAAGTCGCAGCAAATATTTTAAATTTTAATATAAAAACTAAATTATGATACTTTTTTATTTGAATAATTAATTTATTAAAGAATGAACAAAAAGAATTTTTAGTGAGTTTAATAACTTTTAAGCTTGAACTCACCGGCACATTATACGAATCAAAAAGTAGCCCATCTTTTTCCCAACGCAAATTTTTCAGCGGCGGATTGGCGCGAAAATGACAATCAAGCACCGCTGGCTGTCCGAATGGCAGGTAAACCTCTGGCGGTGCATAAATCACTTTGGCCTTATCTGAAAGCAATGGCAACGTAAGCAATGGCAATGACAGTATAAACTATGTACCAAATATGGTAGCAATAAAAATGCACACATTCTCATACAGAAGCAACATATGTACATAGATGGGTAGTTTTTGTTGCTGGTATGAAACAAACCATCGATCTACACCTTACATTCACATACACCTGTTCCCAAATACACCCTCAACTGAGTCTTAGTACTCTGACTTCCACTTACATTGTATGTTGAGAAATGCTTTGGCAAATTGAAATTCTCCCTCTGTGTTGTTGACACGACACTCGTATTCACCTAAATCGCTCATCATAGTCGGATCAATGCTGAGACTGCCATCGGGGCCCGTATGACGGCGTCGTATTAAATCCTGCACCTCCTCTAGTGGCGTGCCATCTTTGAACCAACCAATTGTCGACGTTTCAGGATATTTCATTACACAATGGAAGAAAGCTGTTTGACCCTCCATAATCGTTTGATTCACTGGCGGTATTTTTATTAGCGAACCACCTGTTAGTTGATAAAGGGAGAAGGGCAAAATTAAAAAAAAAGCAAAAAAGGCAAAAAGGTAAAGCAAAATAAAGAGAGAGCTTAGGATTAGTTAGGTAAACATTGGAAATTTACGATAACCCCTCTGTATTGGCAGAATTAATTCAATGCAAGCAATATATGTTCAATTATTTTTTTATTTATATACATTTTTATGTATTTATTTTAATTAAATACTTTACACTTAAGTAGAACTTAGTTTTTCAATTTTACTTAATTATTTTACAATATATAATATTTAATTTAATTTATTTTTATGTTAATAATTTAATTTTATTTGTTTTATTTTATTTTTTTTTTGTTTAATTTCTTTTAATTTATATTAATTTATTTTAATTCGATTTTATTTTACTTAATTTAGTATTTTATTTTATATTGGTTTACCTTATTTTATTTTATTTTGTTGTATTTATTTATATCTACTTTATTTTTTTTAATGTATTTAATTTGATTTAATTTTACTATATTCAATTTTATTTATTTAATCTAACTTAATTTATTTTAATTTTATTTTAGATTATTTGAACGAATTTATTGTTATTTTATTTTACTTTATTCTAAATAAATTAATTTTATTTAATTGTATTTATTTTCATTTCATTTTGTTTTACTTAATTTCGTTTTATTTGATTTACTTTATTTTGTTTTATTCTATTCTATTTTATTTTATTTTATTCCATTTTAATTTGTTTTAACCTTTTTATTTTCTTTTTGTTTATTTTGTTTCATTTTGTTTTGCTCAATTTATTTTGTTTTATTTATTTTGTTTCATTTTATATTATTTTTAATTTTGTGTCATTATACTATTTTCTTATTATGCTTCATTTGAATTTTTTTATCTTACTTGGTTTGCTTCAGTAATCCTTTGTATTTTATTTTAAACTGACTTTGTTCTCACCATCTCTCTTTCTGCTCACACACACTCACCTTGGACAGCTAGATGGAAAAGCGTCCCGTTATTGCGTGCACTTGGCGAACGATTGGGGAAGATTATTTGGCAGTGATACCAACCCTGATCCGACTCACGTATGGCGGTGAGGTTAACAGATGCTTTGCCATATTCTGGATGATTGGTGACAAGACTTAAGCGTCCATTGTACAATTCGCTTGTGATTGACTCCCCCTCATACCAAGTGAAGATTTTTTTGTTCTGAAAGCAAGCAAAGATTTAGCAAATTATTTTAATGGAAATTATAGGGACGTAAATCTAATTCAACTAAATCTGTTTTCATTCAATTTCTTTAAAAATTTAATTTCAATTATTCATAACGTTTTTAATAAAAATAAAAAATAAAATCTCAATTTGTAAAATCTGTATTTTGTAGTATGAGGGCAACATTTTGAGAAAAGAACAAATAGACAAATGGAAAGAGCACCCATACTAAAAGAATCTCAAAATGTATTAACATTTAAGAGGAAATATATATATAAATAATTATTATTTAGATTACAAGCATTTTTTAGTTACAAGTATATTTTCATTATATCATATTTATTTAAGCAACAGCGCTTGGTTCATCCACAAACCACAAGTTTACAGACTGTCTGGCATTGCTATTGATATGATGAGGCATATTTACATATACGTAAGTACTTATATATGATATTTGCCAATAAACCGCATTTCATTTTCCTGAACAACAACACAATCCTCACTGTAATTGAATTGTGTGAACAACAACAAAATCGAAAATCAACAAATTTATGGTTTAGAACGATAAAAAAATGTTACTAAGACTTTGGCTTTAAAATATTTTTTTTTTAATAGTTTTGCTAATTAACTCTACACACATAGTTGCATTTTTCAAATGCTAATTGGATAAAAGTATGGTTTGTAGCTATGTACAAGCATGTTGGGAATACATGGTATATGACATGGTATGTACTTTTTTTAAGCATTAAAATATGTTTTTTTTTTAAATTGTTTTTTTAGTAGTTCAAGCTGGTACACAACTCAGTATTTAAATTGCAATACCTAGATAATTTAATATGTTAACCTATAGTCAAATAAATTAAATAAAAAAATATATACTTGTCATATACCACTTCCATACTAGTTCGTAATGGACTAGTTCATTTGTGTACTGAGAACGCTAGTTTCACTTGAAAAACATGCTATTTTCTAGTTATTATTACATATATAAAAAAAAAATAATTAATTACAGTACATAAATTTTCTCTGTACACGAGAAGTAGCGAAATTCAAAAAAAAAAAAATAATGAAATTAAATTAATAAAAGTAAGATATGAGTTAATATTTTCATAACCAGTACCAAGTTGTTGTATTTCGGACTAGTTCAATTTCATTGAGATAACGCTAGATGTAATTTAGTATGCTCTTCGACCAGTTCGATGTGTACTGCTTCACGCATTATCTACAGATGGGTTTCTACTTAATGAGTATTCATCAAACAACTGTCAGCATTTGATATACACTTTGTTTACAACTTATTTTTTTAAATTACGTTTTTTTATTTACTCATTTTTTATTATTATTGGCATAAATTAATGAGAATTATTTTATGTGTCGCCTGTGTTGATGTGAGCCACTAACTCGGCGTATTCAATATATAAATGCAATTACTTAATACGAGTACATACATACATATTTACATATAAACTTACAAATGAACGCAATAATATTTTTAATGAGTTTTTTGCATACAAATAATTTACGCGTTAATGCATTTTTAATGGAATGTTGCCAAGTAATTGTTATTCACTTCGAGCAAATTTTTTAGAAAATAAGTTTTCTTGGAAAATTTCGGAGAATATTTAAAAGTAATACAAAAATCAATAGGGAAATTATTTATGTATAATTCAAGTCAACAAACTGTAAAATTCATCATTTTTTTTTTGCAAGTTGATATTTTATTCACGTCAGTGAGCCGTCAGCTCTGGTGATGAATTACGTTATGAGTAAAGAAGTGCGGATTTTTTAAAGATTTTATTAATAAATATTCTGAATTCTTATTGCCATTTTATTCTTTCTGCATTAATAAAAATTATATGTTTTGAAATAAAAATGAACACTTAAGTCTCACAATCAATGTTTTGTTCATTGAACAATGCTATCAGTTCTGAGAAAATAAAGTAAACTCAACAAAATATGGGCATTATTTTATTTTTGATTTCATATAAAATTTCCAGTAGTCAAATTTTCTTAAGAAAAGGAAATTGCACGAAAATACATATTTAGAAGAAAATTGATTACCTTCTAAACATTTATATATATAATTGGCGCTTTATAACCGCTAAAGCGATATTCGCTCAAGGTCCTCCTACAATTTGTGGGTTTTGCGTCTTGATGCCTTTCCAAAAAATAAAGGAATCTATAGTTATTATTAAGCCACCTCCGAACGGCTGAGGGTTTTTATGAGGAGCTTTATTTCATGTCCGAAATACACTCGGATATGTTGAAATTTCCTGCCGAGGGGCGACCGCGATAAGAAAATTTTGCTTAATTTTTTTATTAAAATTATTTTCTATAACTTTTTGGATGTTAGTACGACACCAGGATTTTAAACCAGGTCTTCCAAACGCCCGTACGCAATGCCGCTCGGCTACTGTGGTCGCCTTCTATATTCTATAGAAGTGATTAATATTTCGCACATAAGGTTGCAGGGATTACTGAGAAATTCCTCTCAGATCATCATCAGCCATGGTGACCCAGCGATATGTGCAATTTGTATTATTTTATCCGGAGCCACCTTGTCTGAAACCTTGTTTGGTAATGAACGGCTTATACATCCGTATAAATTTTGCTCTTTTCAATCGCCGTTTTGTCATATTTTAGTCGGGAAATCGCTCAAATTATCACTTCTTTCTAGTATTCTCATCGGACACCACACGAATTTGTTGGGCGTTTTTTGCAACGCTTTGATTCTTTTTTTGGAAAAAAGCATCTCATGCGTTGTTTTTTCAAAAATTTCACTTTTCAAATCAAAAAGACTTTTAAAATGATGACGTTTAAAGATTTTGTTCATGCAAAAGAAAAATTGAAGTGACAGACTTTAAAGCCGTATTAGCTTCATACAATCGGATTAATATTCTCCGAAATAAGAGTATCAGCACCATCTAGTTACCAAAAATGGAATGAAATATCTCTTGTCAACAAACAAACAGTCATCGTATTCGCGACTTGCCTTTCACGTCACAGTTGACAGTCATAATTTTGAAGTCGTAGATAATTTCGTCTATCTAAGAACCAGCATCAACACCAACAATAATGTCAGCCTTGAAATCCAGCGCAGAATCTCTCTTGCCAACAGGTGCTACTTTGGACTGAGCAGGAAATTGTAAAGTAAAGTTCTCCCCCGACGAACGAAAACCAAACCTTACAAGTCCCACAGCGTTTCCCTTTTTCTATATTGTGCGAAAGTATGGACGATATCAATATCTGATGAGTGGGTCTCCTAGTCTTCGAGAGAAAGGTTTCGCGACTGATTTGTGGTCATTTGCGCATTGGCAACGCCGAATACCGAAAAGAAGAGATAAATGGCAAAATCGCGACAGTAAAGTAAGTAAGTAAATTATGGAATTAAAGAAATTATTACCATTTAGTGATGTTTAAAGTATAATAATGGATTTTGAGTGGAAATAAAAATTTTTTTATTTTGAATTGGTTTCTTATAAAAGTAAAATTGGCAATCAAGTTAATGCTATTTGGTTATTATTGTATAATTTTCATTAAAAAAATACCGTTATTATAAAATTTCACGTATATAACGTTTTAGATTATATTATATCACATACACGCGCACATATAAATTCAAGCTCGCTAGTTTTTAATGAAATCCCGTAATAATTTGAGCCGAACTTAAAGTAAAAAAAGTTTAAAAAATATATTCATTAATATAATGAAAATAAAAGCGAATTAAGAGTGCTTATCATGAAAGCCGCTCGCACGGTCTTTTGTCATCTGACAATGCCTGTCAATTGTTACTATCGGAAATTAATTAAGTTGTCCTCAAAAGCGCTGCTGCGTGTCACTGGAAGCTATGTAAATGTTAAAGCACGCACATAAACGCATGTACATATGTGAATATATGTATATACAATCATGTGTTGGAATAAATGAAAATGAAAGAATTATTTAAAATTTATACACTTTTGACAAATGAAATGAACAGACAAGCGGGCATTTTAACGCACAAGAGGAAGAAAGAGAAAATTATTTTCAAAAGCGCAGTGGCTTTAATATGTGCACATAATTGCCACACACATACGTATACATACTTAACTGTGTGTATGCAAAATTCTATGTAATTTTGTAATTTTCTTTAATTTTCTTTGTTGTTGCCTTCCATTCATATCCGCAAATTTTCGCAGCAGTTTGAAAGCTAAAATGGCTAAATTGAATTTTCATATGTTTGCATATTTATGTACGTAAGTAGCGTCAAGGGCATATACACCCACATTTGCTTGCATGTTCATCTATGTCTGTGTGCTTGTAATTTTGCATTTTGGTTGCTTTGGATATTGCTAAGGTCAATTTGATCACTTTTGCGTTATAAACTAATTTTATTTCGTTGCAATGTCTAACTGAGATTTTTGAAAATACATGCATACTCTAGGTGTATCTATGTAAATAATTATGTATTGTCTACTGTGTGAATATATACAATAGTTGCGAATTCGCATTGAATCTTGCGGCAGAGGTCTATGCGCCAAGTACAATGTCGGTACATAAATACGTTACTAAATTGCATATATTTGTATGTATTTGATGTATTTATGTGCTCGCTATGCAAAACTGTGGGTGTACACGAAAATTACCGGATAAATCAAGTTATGATTCTAATTTGTTTGATTATGTTGATAAATGTATTTTTTATTGTTATCCAAGCATAGAAACACCTACCGCATGCTCGCCGTTGGGTGCAGATAATTTCCATATATACACATGCATATATGTTTGAATATGTAGAAAAATTGTAGTCTGCTGTTGCAAATGAATACGGATTTGACTAGCCTCAGCGCAACTAGTGCAATATGTTACTAGTTATGTAATTGCCTGACTAACGATAATTAAAATTAAGTTCAAAGGCAATTAAAAATAAAAATTTGTCTCGAAAATAATTTCGTTTTCAACAATATTTTCTATTACGAAATACTATTAATTTCTTGAAATGAAATACTCAATTTATA